TATGATAGTTGTACTGCTAATTGTTATTAGTTCAGTGAAAAGAAAGGTTTATGCCTATGTTTGATCAATTTTTCATGTCTATATCTTGCAATATGTATTATTACTTTGAAGATAACAGTAGAATATGTATTAATCATTGTTACTGTCCAACAATTTTGTTTTGAAATTTTATATCATTGTTTTTATTTACTTTTTTAATAAAAAATCACAATTGTAGATTTGCCAACTTGATTTATGAGCTAAAATGACCTCTTGAGAATTACTGAATTTTATGTTTACTCTTCTATGCTCAGACATAGAACCGATCCTGGTACAAGGAAGCACTCAATAGATATTTGTGGTTTAAATTATTATACTAAACAGAATGAACTTCCTATGCACCTATTTCCAATGTTTAATTCTAAGTAAAAACACTCTTAATTTATTAAAATTTTATAGGGGTTTTCTCCAGTTATGTTTTATTTCTCCAGAATTTATTCTCATTAATGACATGGGTGGTATTTATGTAAGGAGAGTACTTAAACATATCCTCACTTATGTATGCCAGATGCTCTCAAAATAACAGATTTTCCAGGCATGGTGGTGTATGCTGATAATTCCAGAACTCTGGGAAGCTGGCTGAGGTAGGGAGATCCCACATTTAGGTTGCCTGGGAAACTTCATGAAGGGACTGGTGATGTAGCTGAGTGTGAATGTCCTGAGTTCAATTTCTAGTACCACAGAAAAGTATCAGGTTTGATATCATGTGTGTATAATATCTACAGTTGCTTTTGCTCATTTCCAGAAGTATATGTTAGGCATTTCATCCCTGTGTGTTAATCAGCTTTTCCATTTATGAGACATAATACGTGATACTTACAACTAAAAGCAGGGAAAGTTAATTTAACTCACAGTTTCAGGGTACTCAGAATGTGATTGGCTGGTAAGAGAGCTGAAATGTCATAGCAGAAGGTGTGGCATAGAAAAGGTGCTTAGTGTGTGGCACCCGTGAAGCAGAGCAGGGGAACAGAGTCAGAGAAGAAGGAGATAGATACCAAGCATAATACCAAGGTCATGCTTCTGTGATCAAGCTGGTCACACCCAGAAGTGACATCCACTATTTCCCAAGGCAGCTTTCATGCTAATCAAATTCAATCATCTTCTACACCATAACAAACAGTAAACAAAAGAGAAGTTGTCCTGTGTTTTTGTGTAATCCATTCCTTATGCTTATTTCTGATTTATTATGTCATGATTGTCTTTATATAGAAAGCTGTATCTTTGGCAGAAGTTATTTCTATGTGACTATAAAAGGGTCATAAAGTGACTGAGAGAGGGTATCATGTATCCATAAGACTTGATCCTAAGTACCCATACAAAATGGTACTGTTTCAGGGCCAGTGATACAGCTCAGTGGTATGCCTGGCATGTGCAAGCTCCTGAATTTGAGTCTCAGTACAAAAAAAAAGTTATTGCTCTTTTTTCATCTTACTGTAGTTGCTAAGCATGATATGACAAGGTAAGTTGAGAATGTGAGTTAAAGAATTTGGGTACATATTTAAAAGTCTGTTCTCCTTCTTGTTTCACAGGTTTACCAGGAGTTCCAGGACCTCCAGGGGCACCTGGGATCCCTGGAAGAATTGGTCTAGAAGGCCCTCCAGGGCCACCAGGCTTTCCAGGACCAAAGGTCTATACACTTTAAATTATTCCTTCTCATTTTCCTAGCCCCATTATCTTCTGTAGTACTGAATCTATTTTACGTTAGACATTGTTCCAAGTCTTTGATGTATAGATAAAACTTAACTGACTATGCTTTCATTTAAAACTATTTAGGGGGCTGGAGAGATGGCTCAGTAGAAAAAGCGCTTCCCTGGCAAGTGCAAGGGCCTGAGTTCAATCCCCAGTTACAAAAAAAAAAAAAAAAAAAAAAAAAAAACCTATTTAAACTCAAAATATCTTTAATAGTACAAGATGTGATATTTGGATTAAAAAATGGGTTTTTGCTCTGTTTTAGAGTTGCCAATTATTTAACTAGATGTGATAATGTAAATATTAGCTTCCCCTGAACCTTCCGTAGAATCACTATCACATTTCATTTCTGCCCATGCCTGTGTGATTAATTGAAACAGTGGATAATGTATCAAGACCTTCCTAAATTGCCTCTTCCCTGTGCCAATTTTAACACAGATACATAAGGCAAACAATTGCTATCAACTTAGATATAATAATAACAATAATGACAAATGAATATGTATTTGTTATTTTTGTTGCTTTTATTTTATCTTATTTAAATTCAAACGTTCCTCAGTCAGCTTTCAGCAAAGTATTATGCCATGTAATTATCTTGGTTGCCCCCATATTCTCTTTTATTCTATCCTTTAGAGATAGGGTTTCATTATGTATTTTATGCTGGCCTTGAACTCTGTCCCTCAGACTGGCCTCAAACTTGCAGTGGTCCTCCGGCCTCAGATTCCCAAGTGCTGGGGTTACAGACATGAACCACCACACCCCGCCAGCATTTTTCATTTGTTTGTTTGTTTGTTTTTATCTTTTTAGTGTCCCTGTGATTTTTATGCACTTAGTTCATTAATTTTTCTAAGTTTTATCATTATTGCTTCTTTTTCTTAGGGAAAACAACTCACCATGATCTCAGCTTTTAATGAGAAAATGATTTCTCAGTCCATTGCATTTATGTTATTATAAACATTTTCAAATAAACACAAAAGTGAAAGGAGTAGTACAATGAAATTGAGTATGGCCATCGCCCAAGTACAAAACTATTAAGATTTTACCACATTTGCTGTTGTTTTCTTCTCACTTAAGTATTTAACCCAAATCTTAAAATTATGCCATTTTCAAATTATTCATATATAAGTAAATGGACATTTTATACAGAATTACAAAGCCATGCCCACACTTAGTCAAATTAAAAATCATCTTTTGGAATTATCTAATATTAGTTATAGAGTCACATTTCTTCCCTTACGTAGGCTGTTATTAAATCTCAGTTATCTCTTTCTTACTTTGAAAACAGTCCAACTCGTATAATTTGTTTTACTAAGCCCTTATTCCCATTCTTTAAGATGTGCTTTCTGACATACCAGTATTATCCTGCCCTTCTTCCCATTGGAAAATGTATTACTTTGTATTTTCTGCTTTAAATTCTTCATAGTAATCAGTAAGCCACAGGGAAGTCATAGGAGTTTTTATTGTGTTTTGTCATATGTGTGCCAAAGGGAGAGCCAGGTTTTGGGTTGCCTGGACCACCTGGGCCACCAGGACTCCCAGGTTTCAAGGGAACACTTGGTCCAAAAGGTGATCGTGGTTTCCCAGGACTTCCAGGTCCTCCAGGACTCACTGGCTTGGATGGTCTACCTGGACCAAAAGGTAAGGAGACTATTGTTGCTTTTTAATTTGCTTTTAATTTCTACAGAAATTGAACCCCCTGGGAAAACATGTGGATAAAAAGCCCAATTAGCTAAGACATTCATGCTACCTTTCTGTCACTGCTGCACTCTTTGTTCATCTTCCATTGACTATGCTTGACTTTTATTTTACTGTATATATTGAATACATAATACAAAGGTGTATGTATAATGTAACAATGAGAAGTATTATTTCCTCTCTATCCCCTTATATCTGTTTTCAGTTTCTTATTTATCCTTCCAGTGTTTTGTAATGGTCAATACAAACACACACATACACACACACACACACATATTCGCATATACTTGCCAGTTAAATTATACATATTCCGTTTCTTTTCTTTTTGTTTTACTATGGATCAAACTCGGAACCATGTGTTTGCCAGGCAGATGCTTATGCTGCTGAGCTATCTCCCCAGCCCACATGTCCCATTTTTTGAAAAAAATAGGGATAGGGTATTACCTGTTGGTCTTTTTGCATTTGGTTTATTTAGCATAACTTTATATATTAGAGATCACCCCACATCAGTGTATAAAAGGCTTTACATAAAAAATAGGTGCCTACCAGCAGGGCATGGTGGCACATGCCTGTAATCCTAGCACTTGGGAGGCTGAGGTAGGAGAATCACAATGAATTTAAGGTCATCCTGGGCTACATAGTGAATTCAAGGCCAGCCTGAGCTACATAGTGAGATCTTGTCTCAAGCATCCCTCCATGCTACTTGATATTGAATTTCATGGGCATATCATAGTTTATTTTAACAAATAGTAGTTTTTACCTTGGATATTGGCCAATCATATTGCAGATAATAATCTCTAATACACATTGTTTCACACTGCTCTGAGTAAAGGGTCAATGAATCCTTAGATATTGTTAGATTCCGTAATACCTTAAAATCATTGACTAAGTATTTTTGTTCGTCTATCAAACTGTGTTACTCAAAAGTGAAGGTAGTGTTTCCCATCAGTTATATCCTTGAGGTACAGACCCATGACTCTAAAAATTTCAGATAGAATTATCACAGATCATAAACTATGTGGTATCTTCTTATGAAAAATTAATCCATCACTACCTCTTGCATATATATGACCTTGAGACAGATTTTCTGAACAAATGGATTAAAGCCTGTTTGAAACATAAGCATTTGCTTATTTAATTTTTGGATGGAAATGTGAGATTCCCATATCCTAGTAGACATGTCCAGTCCTATGGATAACCCACTACTATTATGGACTACTGGAATATATTGGAATATTTTGCTGAATTCAGACACCTACAATATTTAAATGCCAGTAGAATACCCATCTCCGACAAAACTAAACAAAAAAAAGGGATACAAATGAAGGACCATTTTGTATCTGTATATTTAAAATAGTTAGGACAGATATACAACTACTTTCTCTTAATTCAATGAGAAGAAAGATTTGTACTAATAGTGTTTCTGGGCAGGATATCATGTCTGCATCTAATACTATGAATAGCCACTAAGAAGGCAACAATATGCAATGTATTATTTATTGAAGCTGTCCTACTAATCGGTTTTAAAACTCTCTCATTGCTATTGTTTCTCAATAAAATTATGAAAAATAAATAAATAAAATAAACCCTGTAGAAGTCATTAATTCTCCATTATTAGAGTTGAATTATAGTGATTTATTTGCTAGAAGAATAAGTATTTGGGGAATTCTTTGTAATTTCCTTTTTCCTCCAACATATATTACATTCCTAGTCTGTGCCCTGGAATATTTGACTCATTAGAAAGCAAACAGTGTTAACTGTGATTTTGAGAATCACAAAGTTTACCCTCTGTCATAAGAAAATCTAGGTGGCTTTGTTATGATATATTTTTTAATGATAACTTTTATGAATACATGCTCTAAGGGTTTGAATTAGTAATTCATAGTTAGAACTCAACCTGCAGATTAAAATAAAAATTAACCTGCTAGGCCTGGGGTTGTAGCTCTCTGGAAGGATGCTTGGCCTTGGATTAGTCTTCATTACCCCCCAAAATTGGCATACAGTAGTTCTCACCATAAGAAGGTCTAGATTTTTCATCCTTATCTAACTGCCATGGTTTGAAATGATATGTTTTGTTTGTGTATTGAAGGCCTGGTATTATTAAGGTATTGATTCTCCCCATATTGTACTATATATTAAACAGATTTTTAAAGAAAACACAGACCTTTTTATTTTTTACTTTAATCATCAGATGGAAAACAATTTATAATAACAAAAAACAATTTTGAGAAATCACTAATATTGTAAAAGTAAAACTACCTAGCTTCAAACTTTAATTAAAGCTAATTAATAAACAAAATATGTGAAATTTAGACACATAAATGAATGTGACACAATAGGGGATCTAGAAGTAGATTCACATTTGATTTGTGTGATGCCAAAGATTTAACCCAGGGCCTCACACATGATCAGCAAGCGTTCTACCACTGAGCTTCAACCCACTCCCTATATATTTGATTTCTTACAAACTTGCAAAGCATTTTTAATTGAAAAACTTATTTTGGTAACAGTAGTTGAACTCAGGGCCTCACACTTGCCAGACAGGCACTATGCCCATAGCTACATCCCCAGCCAATAACTTTCGTAACGAGTAGTGTAACAACAATTGGACATCTGTATACAAAACGAAACAAATACATAATACCTTGTACAAAATCTAACTCTGAATGTATTACAGACCTAAATATAAGGGCCTGAGAGGGAAAACCTTCTAGAACAGAGGTATGTAAATTTTTCTATAAAAAGCCAAATAGTGAATGATTTATTTTTTTTGAGGGCCATATATGGGCTTTTTCCCATCTTTTTTTTAATAGCCATCTAAAACCATAGAAAGCATTTTCACCTCATAGTGTAAAAATAGCTGTATAGGTAAAATTTAGCTCCTTGACAATCCTATGTTTTCCCTTGTTTAAAAAGAAAGTATAAGAGAAAAACCTATGAGATTGTAGATGGGCAAAGAGTTACTAGAATACCAAAAGAACAATGCACACCAAAAGAAAAATTGATGAATTGTCATAAAATTGACTATACTTTAATGTCATATCAGACAAATATTTGCAACTAGAATATATAAAGAACTCTCAAAACTCAATAACAATGAAGCTCAATTTTTAAAATCTAGTTGGAAAATGGATAATTTGAATAACCTTTCCATTATAGATACCTGAATAGCAAAGAGGCATGTTAATAAAGATGCTCAGTATCATTAATCATCTGTAAAATGCAAGGTAAAGTAAAACTGAGATACATAAATTTTAGGATTGGTATTTTTTAAAAAAGAAAAAATGAAAAGACGAAACACAACCAAGAATGCAGGATAATTGTAAAGCACATACATTCCTAGATAGAATGCAAAATGGTACAGTCCCATTGAAAAGCAGTTTAATCATTTCTTAGATTCTTAAACATAGCCTTGGTATATGACATAGCAACTACATTTCTAGTTACTAAAAGAAGTGTGAAGCTTCACACAAAATTTCACAAGTCAGTAAAGCTGTTCATAACAGCTTTATTTCTTATCACAAAGAATTGGAGAAAGTAACCAGGAGGGGGATATACACCTGTCATCCCAGAATTCTGGAAGCTGAAGCAGGATGATGTCTGCAAATTTGAGTCCAGCATATGCTACATAGTAAGTTCAAGGCCAGCCTGGACTG